TACAAATACACAGACAGGCATACGAGTCATGTTTTTGGACATGAATACACAGACAGGGAGACGGAAAGTAGTCCAGGAAAATCCAGAGAGCCAGTAAACAGCACTGTCGTCCAGATGGCGCATGACTTGGATTAGCTGGGGAGTCATGGGAGGGTAACTGGGTTCTGACACACTGAACTCTTCTGACAGGACGAGTCTGAATGAAGCTAGCCAACATGGCCGCTAACAGCTGGAACAGGTTAACTTGTAGCTTGTGCTGAAACTCATTACGTACAGTCAGCTTCTTTCATACAATATCACATATTTTCTACATGTGGTTCAGGGAATTTCACTATTATGATAAATGAAGAGCATGTTTTTGTGAAGCAGGAGACAGTTTTTTATCCACAAAACAGCAGAACAGAAAAGTATTACAATTACAAAAACACTTTTCATGTCAGATTTCTGCTCTGGCCTTCCAAAAGCTGCACGTGCAGTTTTACTTGGAATTTTAAATGGCACTAATGATTTATGACCTGAACAGAAATGTATATGTGGACCTCCCTGGTGCACACATTGTGATACACTGCATGGGTTTGGTTTACTACACGGTTGGTAACAAACTAGCTTTGTACACACTGTTGGGTCAAAAAACTAATTGCCAGGTAATTACTAAATGTACAATTTAAAGGTGTAAGCAGCTTTACAGGTGCAAATGAGGACACAGGGTTAAAAGGCAACCACTGAGCCGCTGGTCCAGCTTGGCTCAACTTCTGCAACATCATTAAATAGCTGCTGATACGGTGCTTCAAGATTCTCCGAGTATAAAACACAGGATGATGACAGAGAGGAGAAACTACAGGAGAATAAAAAAATACAGCTGAGGAGGTGAGAGGTGTGAGGGAGGAGGAGATGAAGTGGCGAAGACAGGGGGAGGCTGGCAGTCATGATTTAGGACTGAAACACGTGCGCATAAAGACACACGCTGCTCCTGTTGTCCTGTCACGAACACTAACCAGCCCTCCCCAGGAATGTCTATCTGCAGCTACAGGTTTCGAGCCTCATCACACCCCTCTCCTAAAAGACCAGTGTGTGCGTGTTCTGGTCCCACCAACAGACTATGCCAGCTGCTTAGGGACGAAGGGAGCCAGGGGCATGCAGAGGGATGTTGATGGCACACCCGGGTGTGTGCGTATCTGTATGTGAGGGTGGGACGAGGAGACAGCTGAGATTCCGGTTGCACCCCGAAAAAGACTGGAATTAGAAGCATCCTCTGAGGCAGAGTGCGCACACACACACGCCTCTCCTCTGCCCACAGAGCAACAAACACAGATTCTACAGTGGCACCTATGTGCAGAGAGGATGGCCATGTATAAACATGTACATGGGGAATAACAAAACGGACCAGGAAACAGACAGGAACTGTTCTGAAGCAGTTTCTCATTCAAAACTTAGGCTACTCAAGAATAATGCACACTTTACTATATAGTTTACTCTGGAGTCAGCAGTGACATTAACGAGTGACACTTTGTGAATTAATTTAATGACAAAATATGCTACTTTTTTCATTTGTATCCAAATTTCTATTGCAATTTTTAAGTTCAGAATTTGCCCTCAAATCAACTGGAAAACAGAAAAGTTATTTTGGACACAGTCTTGAATCATTTCTCTGTATGTTTTCATGTCAATTGCTTTTAAAGGGCAGCTGTTGTTCAAATGAGTGCAAATACAATATCACAGTTTCCATAAAATAGTTGTTGGTGCCTTACTTAAACAATTTTCTTCACACTGCCTTTTTTAATTTAACTCTAATCACAAATAGCTCAGCAACAACTCTGCCTAAATAACACAGTGGCATGAATCTGAGCAATGAATCACTTGGTGCCATGAACACATTTTTGTCAGAACAAAAAAAAAAAGAAGAAATCGTTTTCTATACGTTTTGTTGTGTTTCCATATATTTATAAGCTGGTATTAAGTTCTGACAGAGGAACGCCATTTCCTCCCTCAATGAGCCAGTAATTCTCTGTGAGATCACTTTGAACAATAATCTGACAACATACCCTCCCACTCCCATGACCCCTCATCCCCTGGCTGCCCTCCGCCCATACCCACAAACAGACACCCACACACCCACTGTCCTGAACCCCGTCGTCTTTCTAAGCATCGGTATGACATCACCCCTCTGGACGGAAAATAGTGTCTGGTGGGGGAGGGGACAGAGGAGGAGACCTGGTCTGTTTTGGAAGCAGACAGGCGTTTAGGTTTGAAATGAGCTGAGCTGGATCGGTTACAGAAAGAGAGAGAAGGAGAGGGAGAGGAGGGAGGAGGAGAGCGGCTTCAAAAAGTGGACAAAAGGCTTTCACATCTTTTTACCCTCCATCCCTCTTCAGACTGTTAGAGCAGGATGGAGACGATACTCTAGTGTAGCTACAGTGCAATACGGAGAGAAGATAAAAATGAAATAGAGTCAAAAAGGGTCAGATCAAGGACAGATGTGTGTGGAAACCCCCTCCCTCTTTTTCCTTATCATCCTCTCTGCATCTGTAAAGCCCCGTGATCCTGCTCTCCACGTTGTCTCTCTGCCCTTCTCTAGTCGCGACAATATCCCCCTGCTATCTTCCCTTCATTGCCCTCCTATAAATACCCCTCTGCCCCCCAAACAGAGTGTTAGACCATTTCTCTATGCTCTACATACCCTGCAGACAGTAGCTATTATTTGTTCTGCCCCACTCTCACGTTTACACCCAGTTTGTCACCAGGTTGTCTGTGCCTCAGCATCTTAGTGCACGTACAACATGATTAACACCTACTGTAGGGATGCTAACAAGCCACCAATAGTATTCACACAAGTTTGTAATGCCTCCATTCAGATTCCACCATCTTGCACAGATTATGAATATTTGAGGGCTGCAAGCAAAAATGGATTAATCTGCAGATTCATTTTTTGAGTAATCAGAAAAGTGAGCAATCACAGCCTAAGTGTCCAAAACCCAAACTGTTTACTATCAGATAAAACAGACTCACAAATGAGTAAGACATGTAAAAGGCCCTTCCCCTGATGACAAACCTGCTCACTGACCTGATTAATTTAACTGCACACCAGACAAAATACACAGCTTCACACTCTTTGTCTGATCTCGCTCACTCTTTCAAGTGTAGCCTATTTAGCTTTTCAAAGCTCCCTCATGCTCTCTGAATCCCCCGCTCCCTCCTCTCATCCCTCTCTCAACACCTCTTCATTTCCTGTCTGTTTCCTTTCTGCGACATATTCGCTCAATGTGCTCTCATTAAAAGACTTAGAAGGGGGCAGAAAAGAAAGAGCGAGAGAGACTGAGAAACAGGTTGAAGGACTGAGGACGAAACCAGCACACAGGGAGGTTAGTGGGGCGACAGAGATCTAAGGGCAGTGAAGATGCTTCACTAAATATCCAAATAATCAAATTAAGATTAGAGAGACAAGGAACGAGGATAAAGAGAAATAGAAGCAAAAATGTCTCATGAAACAGACACATGTTCTTTGATCCACCCACACATCTTAACAACAGTGGAGCCAATCACTCTCTGGGGGACGAGCAGGAATCCAACTTATCACAGCTCATATCACAACATGACTCATCAATCATCTTCAAAAAAGCTTAACCTTCGTGGAGCAGATGGGACAGAACAGCTAATGTGCTGCCTGCGCGTGGGATTTGTTCATATTTCTCCTCAGCTCTCAGATATTTAGCTTTCTAAAGTGGCCTGGATGTTACATCACGGCGAGAAAATGTGCACTTTAATGACAGTAGACGTACAGAAGGAGCAGTCTGTCCTGATGAAACGAGCAGTGGAGTAACACGGTGGAACACAATGGGGATTCCAGCAAAGCACATTCCTGAGGTCAGCCCCTGTGCAGAAAAGCTGTCTAGGTCTTAATGCTAAAACATCACAACTCAACTGTCATTTGCTGTATTGTTTTCTGTTATAACTCTTCTTATGTATGCTATTGAACAATCTGTAAAGTTCAAAATAAATATTTTGTCATATTTTGGTTTCATTCCCCTAAGTTGGCCGAGAACAATGCACTTTGCAAAAGCTTTCTGGGCACATTTAAATACATACGAGGACTTTCTTACTGGGCACTGTGTTCACAAATCTTCATCTCAACATTGCGCAAAATGCTTTTTTTGAATTTCCCACACGTTTACAGTACCAAGTGTTATTAATCACAAAGAAAAAAGTGTGATTTGCTCTGGTATTAAATTTAGACTTGTCCATCACCACAATGACAAGACTGTTGTCACCACAAAGGTGGTGACTGAGCACCAAATGCTGAGAGTGCACTGTAACTTTCCTTCAGAGAAAAAAGTAAAAAGCTACATGATTCAACAGCGTGAAAGGCGATTCAAAGAGCTGCGTGACTCAACTTGCCTCCGACTCCTGATGCACAACAGGAGCCCCTCTCACACACACACACACACGCATACACAGACCCTTACCTCATGGTCTCTAGAGGTATGAGCAAGAGGGGATGATGGAGACAGACCTCAGTGGCTCTACAAATATCCATGTCACTATTTATCTCTCTCACACACACAGACACAAATCTGTGCTCTAAACTCAGGCTCATGTTACACTGAAGACTTTCTGCCAATCTGTGCAAACTGGTTTTAATGGGAAAGAGGGAATGAACACCACCCTGAATTCAGTTAGATTCATTCATGTTTTCACCCACATAACCAAGTGGATACTTTAACTGCCAGTGCCAAAGGCAAACAGGTGTACTCAGACACACTACTCAAGTATGTATTGTAGTACATGCCAAAGAAAACCCTAAACCAAACCAAATGCAATGGAAAAGAAAGAGGAAATTAAGAGCATAGGAAACTGCTGCAAATGGGATTTCGTAATATATTTCTCTATGGGACTTCACTGACAAAATGCCACTTCACATACACACACACACACACACACACACACACACACATCTACATGAACCACAGCCATATACAGAACCAGCACAAGAACATCTAGCCTACCTTAAACTCCTGCAGCTGCTGTTTGATCATCTCCACCTCGGTGCCTACCACGCCCTGTGCGTTCAGCCCCTCTTCAGCCCCTCCCAGCAGGCCTTGCAGCTCAGCCACCAGCCTGTAGAACTCCCGCACCCTCTCGGCAGCGTCTTCAATCTGGTCCAGCCTGGCCTGGCCACGCTCACTCAACTAGCACGAACCGAATTAACATGAAAGAATCAAATCAGTTTAACTGTTATACTCAGGTTAGTGCATTAATAAGCTTACATCTCTAATATAACAAGAGCTCAGATGGTAAATTCACTCACATACAGATAAATCAGCTCAACTACACCGAAACAGTCACTGTCACAGATTGATAGAGTATGTTAAATCGAGAAAAACAAAATCATCTTCCTTCTACCTCACCTTGTTTGCTTGGCGGCTCAGAGCTTCAGTCTCCCTCCTGAGAGCCAGCAGATCCGGGGAGGAGCCCTCTCGTCGCAGCATGTTGGTGCACTCTGACGCATGACCCTCCAGCTCCGTTCTGAGGTTGACTAGACGGGAGAGGAAGCCCTTCAGGGCGTCCGCCTGGGAGGCCAAGGAGTCCGCATCACGTCCAACAGGACTGAGGGAGTCCAGTTCATCATCGAGGTCAGCAAGGCGTGAGAAGACATCACGCACGTGAGACTGGACCTCGCCAACGCCCTGCAGCCAAGACTCCAGGGAGGAGCAGTAATGTTCGATCTGATAGAGGAAGACGGAAAGAGACAGAGGGTGGAAAAGGGACAGATGATGTTCATCACAGTGCATCATAAACCGAAAACACAAAATTCAACTTTGGCCTTGGAGCTGAAGAAGGTTCCTTTCACTCAGTGTAGTAATTACGGCACGAAAGGCCTTTTTTTTTCAGACCCAATAAGAAAAAACAGGAAAAATAAACATGAGAAGATTTTGTAGTTGATTTTAAGCACAGAACATTCCAACAAGTGTGGAACTAGTGCAGGTGTCATTTTCTGATAATTCCTGAAATTCACTATGAACAAAAGATGATCTAATCAAACCGCAAATGTAACTAAACCAGAAAATGATGCAACAACAAGTAGGTGTAGGTGCAAGAAAGTGGCAGTGGAGACCTTCTCTAAGAGTAGGCAGATCTTCATCATTGCCTGCAGCACAGCAGCTCTTTTCTCCGTAAAAACGACACCAGATCAGTTGTTTAAAAACATTTAAAAAAAAAACCCTCTGAATGAATAAAAGTGTAGTCTGGTGATTTAAACATACAGTTTTAGCTCCTGTGATAGTTGTCTGACTCAGGTTTACATTTCAAACTATGATAAAGTGTCAAAACGTCCACAATGACCATATATGACTACTGTAACTAACAGCCATGGCTGCTCTGTTCTTTCTCAGCTCTCTGACACCAAGCACCCACACAGAAACACGTACACTACATGTGACACCCTCCTCACTGACCCTTGGCATAAACAGCTCGCCTGATTGTACAATATCTCTTCACTCCAGACTGCATATATTGTCGAGGTTAAACTAATTTATAACTGTTACGACTCCTTTCAGCACCTCCCTCTCCTCGTGTTCTGCTGTTTCTCCACCAGCGCCTGCCGGGCGAAGAATCCTTCAACGCTTAAACATATTGGTGAAGTATAAATTGGACATTCACTGGCGATCTCTGATCAGGTTTGGGAAGAGGAACATGTGCCCTAAAAGAATGATTATTGGCCACAGGTCCACAATATGTTTTTGCAGCTGTGTTTGTTTGTGGTTTGTTGCATGTTCCAGATGTTCAGTAACTAAGTCAATATTCACCTCAGATTCTACCCGAGCACCTGTTTCAAAAACCTGTGGCAGTTATTCTCCATGGTTTTGGCTTATTTGTGACCTTTGAAGCCTGTTAAAGCTGCAAAATGTAAAACAACATGGGCTATAAAAAGACATTAGCGCGTTTCCATTTTCGTTCCCTTTTCCTGACCAAGATCCTGCTTCTTAACATGGATGTAGATTTTTAACAATCAATAACTTTTAAGCAATCCATAAGCAGTTAGTCATTAGCAATTTATGAAATACAGCTGTCTTTTTCTATAGTACTACTGTAATCTGCAGTCACTACTGACATAACATGTTAAGTAGCATCATGTTAGTTGATTTAAAAATTAAACAACTAAAAACAATGACTAAAAATTGTCTGTCACTATTCATCAATTTAAGGCAAAATGATTTAAATTAAAAACACAAAGTATTAACATAGTAAACGTGTCTGTACAACTTCCAGGCTTCACTGGGCAACACACATTAGATCAGACTAAACGTGATGGATGTATCCGGCAGTTAAAACAAAGCCCGGCCCATTTTTCCTTTATCAGAAGGGCTGCAGCCTTCAACAGTAACCAAACTGTAATGCTGTTAATAAACATGAAACACAGCAGGATGGCCCAGTCTCCCCACAGCAAACTGGTTTTACAGAAAATAATATCCAGTCCTTATTTACATGATGGCAATGATCTGTGCTTTCACTGTAGCTAATGTTAGTACAGCTGCTGGAAACGCCTGCTCAGGAGGGACATGTCCTGGGGACGCACAGATACTGTCACGGCACCGTGGTTAGCCCAGGAATTTTTTTTACTGCTGCTAGTAAAATGCATTTATATTCAAAATGGGGGAAGCGCTTGTACATTTAATCGCTTTCATGTCAATTTACAACTTTATGCTGCAATATTCATCAGCACAACTGATCCAGCACAGACAGCCACTCTGCCACTTTCATGGATGAAAAGGAGGCGTGATTTATAATTAATCCAGTAAAACAGCAAACATCTTTACCTCCACCACCTGGTGATGCATCTACCTACAGGTACTACAGTGCATTTTCAGTTGCAGTGCACATCCTTGTCTTCTGCGCTCATGGTTAACATACATTTTTAATTGATTATTTGATTAATAATGGCAATGAATGAATCAATCACTGAGATCCCTACTCCTCACCTTGTCAGTAACATCATCATACTCTTTCTCTGTTTCTTTTGCCTGCTCCTGAAGCCTCTGTGCCCCCTCTCTGCTGCCTCCTGGTGCCTGGGGTGCATCTTGCACCAGCCCCTGGGCCAGGTCTCGGAGGTAGACCACCTGAGGCTGCAGGGACCTCAGGCTCTCCTGCTGACTTCTCAGCCTCTCTAGGCTCTTGGCGCTGCATGCCTGAGTAGGAGAGACGTAAATTGAAACATGAACTTACTCTTAATAACTGCTATGTATTATTTTGTTATAACAACATGTACATATCGCAGTCTGTTAGCCCTGTTGAGGAAGAATGACTGTAAAACGATCAGAGTTTTTCAGTACCTGAGGTCCCAGAGCTTCCTGGACTTCAATCTGGTGCTTGGCAGCCTCCAGCCTCCTCTCCACAGCCTGTCTACCCTCCTCAAACTCCTTGAGACGGCCAGCCAGCTCCTCCAACTGGGAGGAGTGGTTATGAAGACTCTCGCCCAGACTGTCCAGTCTGTGGTTCAGCTGGGCCTTCTCATCCCGTACCTACAGAAAATGTGTTTACATCAGTTTAGTTTTCTTCATTTACTTAATTTATGACCTTAATTTAATTATAGCTACATCATATGCATTTTATGAGGTGTCTCCAAATGTTGACATAGTGAAACACATCCAACTCTCATTATAAATCTTATAATACACACTTGAGAACATAGTTGCGTAAAACAGGTAACCTTAAAGCAAGTACATACCTCTTCCTCTCCGATGCAGCACTGCTCCAGCAATTGATCTGCTGCAGTATTGAAAGAGTCAAGGAGGGGCTGTCGTCTTTCGAGGTCCAGTGACAGACCTCGGGTCTTTTGCAGGGCTTCATCCAGGGCAGATGAATCCAGTGATGGATAGATCTCTCCCTCTTTCTCTTCACACTCTGATAACCATGGTATCAGGTCAGCCTTATGCTGCTGGTAAGCTTCTGCTTTGCTCAGAGTGGTTTTAAGTCTGCTCTGTCGATCTGAGATTCTTTGGTTTAACCCCTCCCAGTCCTGTCGCAAAGAGGTCAGGCGGGACTGCAGGGCAGACCGCTCATCTCCGCCTGCTGGGAGAGTGGCGAGCAGCGACACTCCCTCAGCTTGAATGAGCTCATATGAACCTCGCTGACTGGCAATGCCACGCTGGAGTTCATCTATCTGTGCCAGCAGGGAGCGGATGGCCTCTGGCTGGCAGGGCAGGGCATCACTGGATGATTCTCTGAGATCTGACTGTTTGTCAAGCCAGGAACGCAGCTCCTCAAACATCTGCTGGAACTGCTGGGTGGACGAAAGGGCAGCTTGGAGCTGAGACAGGCCGTCAGCTGGAGGAAAAAGAAGCCGAGCACAAGGAATTACAAACATAAACGGTGAAAATCACATTCAAACATAAAAAGACAAACAGGGCGTGTGTAATCAAAACAATAATCTCATTATAGCTATAAAGGGATTAAGTTTGAAAAAGAATGTTGTTTTACTAGGCCAAAACGTAACTAATTCATTTATTAAAGAGGACCATTATCTATAAATAGAAAAGCATTACCACAGCATAAGCATAGCATAAGCACAGTTACTGCAACAGCCACATAAACCCTACACACCGGCACGCTCCTCCAAACTCTTCAGTGGCCCACTGACACTCGCCAGTCGTTTCTTCAGCTCTTCCTTCAAGTAGGGCTCAGCTACAATGGCGCTCAGCTCCTGGCAGAGCTTCTCAGCCTCGGCTAGCTCGCTCCTCCGTCTCTCTAGCTCTGAGCGGATCTCTCCAGTCTCCTGAAGGCGACGTTTCAGTGCCTCAGGCTGGGCACTCAGCGAGGCCTGAGCATCCAACCGCTCACTCAGATCAGAAACACTGGAGGAGAGTTCTCTCAGCAAGGCCTGGACAGGAGAGGAGGAGGATTAGAAAATGATGCGGTCATGGTGACAGTATAATATGAAGCCATTACTCCAGCTAGACTGACCTGGTACCGTTCACTGGTTACTTGGGCCTGGTCGATGTGATTTGACCGCTGAGTCAGTCGGTTTGTTAGGTCCTCCCACTGCTGTGAGATAGAATCCAGCTCAGCCTGCACCTCCGCCATGTCCTTGGGGTCCTGGGCAGAGTCACCAGTTTGGGAGAGAATGCCCTCGGCGGACTGGGTTAGCTGGTCAAACTGCGGTCGCCGGGTCTCAAACTCACGCAGCATGAACTAAAGGAAAGAGGTGTTTAAAGCATGAAAGCGATCCTCATTCTGGATTCTCTGGATAGATGATACATTTTGCGGATGTGTGTGCACTGCTAACTGTTGTATAGTGCATATACCTTGTGACAGTATCACTATGATTCTGTGCACAACTTTGGCCGCATACCTGCACTTGCTGTCTTTGTGTGTTGAGCATGTTGGGGTCGATGCTCAGCGGTCCCAGCACACTCATCATCAGCTCCTTCTCCCTCAGCCACGGGCCCAGCTGATTGGCTGCTGTGGAAAAGCTGC